GGGTCTCGGCTCCGGATCGCGGGTCGCGAAGGTCAGCCCAAGCAGGTCACTTCTCCCCACCTGATTCGGGCCCTTCCCTTCTCCTCTGTCGGCCCGCTCCGCCGCTTCACTCTCTCCCCCGCCCCCCGAGTCTCGTTTCAGTCATCCCTTTGTCCTTCCCCGGATTGGCAGGTTTTATTATTCCGCCTGAACAATCCGGCCGCCCAGTGGCTGAGGGTCGCTGACGTCGGAGGCAGAGCCGGGGAGTAGTTGGGATTTTGCTCTGTCAGTAACACATGTGTAAGAGCCGCGGAGGGAGCGAGCGAGCCGGCTAGAGGCCAGCGCCACCGCCGCCGCCGCCGCCTCCGCCTCCGCGCCGGGCAGCAGCAGCCCCAGCAACAGCCCCGGCAGCGGCGTAGGCTCCAGCGCGCCGGGCCCGGCCGGCCGCAGCTCCCGACTCTTGGGCGCGCCTGCCTGCCGGCCTGCGCACCGTCCGCCGCCGCTCCCGGGGTTTCTGTGTCTGCGGCTGCTCCCGGGCGGAGGTGCAGGGAGCTCAGTCGAGCCGCCGCTGCCAGCCCGGAGCGAGCGAGCGAGCTAGCGAGCGCGCGGGAGGGAGGAAGGCGGCGGCGGAGGAGGAGGAGCGGGAGGAGCGCGAGGAGCGCGGGCGGGGGCGGGGGCCGCCGGGCGGGGGAATATACAAAGTGAAGCCACATTGCCAAACTTGCAGCAGCGATTGCAGCAGTTGCTGCCGCTGCACCGCGCCTGAAGCCGCGTCGCGCGGGCCGAGGGCTCCTGCAGCTGCTCGCGCGCAGCCGGAGGCGGAGGAGAAGGACGAAGACTGAGACTGACACTTCTGCTCCCGGCCGCCTGCCACTTACGCGGGGGCCCCCCAACCCGCCCCAGAGCAACGCGATTTAAAAAAAAAAAAGCCGCCCTTAGCCCCCTCCTCCCCTTTCCTGCTTCTGCGAGAACTCCCTCCCTCCCTCCAGCTCCGCCAGCCCAGGCGCCCCTTCCCTGGAAGCCGAGCGGCTTCGCTCGCATTTCACCGCCGCCGCCTCTTGCAATATTGCAATATAGGGGAAAAGCAGGTAAGGGGGCGGCTGGGGGAGCCGCGGGCCGGGAGGTGGTGGAGAGAGGGAGGGGGCCGATTCGGGCCAGGGCTGTTTTCTTTGGCTTCCTTCCCCTTACCGTCCCAAATTGCAAGTAAACAATACGTCGCCTTAGATAAAGCGCGAGTCTGAAACTACCGAGGCCGGCCTGCGAGCTAGCGCGGAGGGCAGCCCGGGCCGCCAGCTTTGTAGCGGTTCCTGCTTACAAAAGGGCTCTTCTTGGAAACGGGGCTGGTGGGGACCGTAGAGGGGGTGGGGATATTTCTAGTTCATGAGGGAAAGGGCAAGGGGTGCTTAGATGAGATTTTAAGTATGAGAAGTAGTGTGTTTGGGGGGGTGGGGGTGGGGATAGTCACGATACCCCCCCTTCTAGTAAACACTATTTTTGAAACAGTGGCAGGAAGGGTCTAAGTGAGCAGGATTCGGTATTGCTGGTTCTTTTAAAAACCTCTTGGTTTATAAGTCTTTTGTTACAATCCAGGAGAATTCGGTGAATCACCTAATTAAAATCAAGACATGAATTAAGCATCCATTTTTGTACTACAAATTGCCAGCGTTACGTTTGTCCCTCCCTTGGTCTCCATTAAAAAACACCAGAGACGTTGTTAAAGGGGGGCAGATTTTGCCTCTAGCTGCCAGTTCTGCTTTCTATTTCACTGACTATCCCAGGACCTAAATTGCTCGGCTATGTAATTACTAGAGTATAAGCCTATTTAACTTAAAAGCTTGCTTTTTTTTTTTTTTTTTCCAACTCTAAATGAAACTTGATGAGGGCCCGTCCTTAGTTATCAGGGGAGTCAGTTTCTGGTCAGTCCTCTTGATTCATCTCTTTTAGATTTAATCAGCATTAAGGTATTGCTTGTCCTTAAGAGCTTTAGCTAATGGGGTTACTGGATGCTTTTCTCAGTGTAATGTTTCCTTTAAAAAAAAAAAAAACATATATATTTACCTCTCACTAAAGATGGGGGCGGGGAAGAGCTTGGAATCTCCTCCCTCTCTCCTTTTAAAAAGGAATTCGGAGCGATTAAAACGTTGGGGGAAACAGTTTAAAGACCTAGGGCAGGAAATGCAGATTCATTTGGGTTAGGGCTGAAATTGTAACAAAAAGCAATTCCTCGAGTAAATGCATCAGATAAATCAATTTACATAAAGGTATGATGCATTCGGATAAATGCAATGCTAATGGGTTTTAGAGTGGTCCTGTTTCCAAAGTCTCAGGGTTTTGTTACAGCTTAATTGGTACAGTTCTTATTCTGGTTTATTGTGCGGTCACTGGACACACGTTCCGGGACTCTTTCGGAGGAAATGTGTTTAAAATCGGCCTATTTAAGGAACCCGAGTCCCTGTTTCGTTCGTTCCTTCCTCGTTTTTTTGTAGCAGCCAAGTTGGGCCGGGGACAGGCAAAGTTCGCCTTCTGAGGTATCAGCTGAATGTCTTGAGCAGATAGCTGGGAGCCTCAGGGGGAGCCCACACTCTCAGCTTACAGAGGACAAAGACAAAACAGGCTGCTTAATTGGCAGTAAATAACTTGATCTTTTTATAGAATAAGTGACTAGAGGAACACTAGGACTTTATTGGACTCGGAATTGAAGGCAACAAATTAATCGGTTTAGGCTAAGCTTTATAAATTGATTCCTATGTTATATCCCAGTTGCATCTCTTGTGGCATTCATTAGAGTGGGGAATTCTTTTTTAAAGCAGTTTTTGGTGACAGCAGAACGGGCTCGAATTTAACTTGTGCATCCCTTAATGCTGCCTTCTCGCACGTTATCTGTGACGCCGCCGCCCCCCCCCCCCCTTTGGAGGAACAAAGCTTTAGCATTTAAATTGCTGATCAAGGGCAGATTAGTGAGACCAAAGTGGAGAGTGTTTGTATAGGAAGTTAACAGGCATCCTAAAGTTCAATGATCTATTATTCTTGCCTGTGTCCTGAAAACCCAGAGAAAACACTCATTGATCTTCAAAATGAAATGAGATTTGGAACAATAATGGGAGATGGCGGTCACCACAATGGCATGTGAAAGGTGCTGCTTAAAATACGAAAAACCAGTTTCGCAACTTTACACACTGCACCCCCCCTGCCGTCACCTTGCCTTCCCTCCCACCACCACGCTCTCCATCTTCCGTCTGCCGGTCCCTCCCTCCTTCCCTTTCGGAAAACCGAACTATTTCCAACTTGTGAACTCCTGCTGCACTTCCCAGGGCAGAGCCCGGGAGGGAACGAGGCTCCGGCGGGGCCGTCGCCTCCCCACTCCCCTCGACTCTGTCCCGGGGCCCGGCGGGGGCTGGGGAGGGGCCGGGCACGGCGGTGGGTGGGTTTGACCCTCATTTGCTGCAGGCGGGCGGCGGAGGAGGGGGGCAGTGGGCGGAGGCGGGGGCTGGGAGGAGGTGCCGCGAGGGGTGGAGCGCGCGGCGGAGCCTGCTCTCGGAGTTTTGACAGTACCGGAGCTGAAATTGTCAGCGGCGGCAAGCGCAGGAAAGTTGAGAGGAGCTCGTGGCCCCAGAACAAAGCTTGAGAAAAGTAAACAGGCGGCTGCTGCCGGCGAGCCTCCCTCCTTCCCTCTCCCCCTCAGCCTCCTTCCCGCCCTTGCCCTGCTGTTTCCTTCCAGCAGCTCCGGGGGGAGGAGGGGAATGGGCTTGCTCTCTCTCCGGCGATTACTAACTTTTGCATCGCCCCTGTTTTGTCTTTCTCTCCCTGTCCCCTTCCCGCCCTCTGCAGACCATGGTGAATCCGGGCAGCAGCTCGCAGCCGCCCCCGGTGACGGCCGGCTCCCTCTCCTGGAAGCGGTGCGCAGGCTGCGGGGGCAAGATTGCGGACCGCTTTCTGCTGTATGCCATGGACAGCTACTGGCACAGCCGGTGCCTCAAGTGTTCCTGCTGCCAGGCGCAGCTGGGCGACATCGGCACGTCCTGTTACACCAAAAGCGGCATGATCCTTTGCAGAAATGACTACATTAGGTAAGACTTTGCTGCCTTTCCTGGGGATGGGCGAGCAGAGCAATGGCAAGGCCAAAGGTTAACAGGGTTGTGAGGAAAGGAGCAGGCACCTATGGCAATACATTGCAGCCTTCACCTCAAAAATCTTTTAGTTGGCAGAATTTAAAGGGTTCAGGAAGCATGTTGTTAGTCTTCCAATATCTGATGGCAAATTAATGGCAAATGCCATACTAAGTAAAGACCATCTGGTGGGACTGGGTCATTAGATGCACAAAGGTTGAGCACCCTCTGGTCCCGAGTGGTCAGCCTCTACTGGACTACAGGCTAAAAGCAAACATCTCAAGTGGTAGTTAAGGTGCGTTCTTAAAACAAGGTGGGAACTCACAGAGGAACTCGCAGACAAAGGTTGACTTAAAAATACAAGTGTAGTTAGTGAGAAATGATTTGTCTGTAGTGATGGCTTATTACGATATTTACATGAGCATTTTTAAACTTTTTTGAGTGGAAAGCTGTGATTCATTCTTTGTGCTCCTTGAGAAAAATGCTAATTATCCATCAGTTTAAAGACTTGTAATTCTTCTTATAGAGAAAAAAAGCCCCAAGAAATAAAACCTAGTGATAATGTTTCTCTTCATACTGTTACTCGGAGGCTTGCAATAATTCAGTTAGTGTGTGGTTTGCGATGTAGAATTTGCAGTTTTTTTCAGTTGAAGTATGTTCAGGTTTTGGGTTTTTTGTTGTCGTTTGTATCACTGCCCTTGATCCCCAAAAGAGATTTAGAAAAAGAGGCTATAGAATTATACTAATCTTGCATTTTAAAGCAATGTATAGGAACATTCATATGTCCATGTAAGCAGTCTTTTCCAACAAGTTGCAGTGCAATTAATGGAAAGAATTCAGGAGGTCAGGTGCCTATAGGATCTTTTCAGGTGAACTCAAGCTACTTAAACTCATTAATTTGAAAGGAGGCATTTGAAGGATTACACATTTAATTTGAGTAAATGGTTTGATAGACTGATGCACATGAATGCTTCTAGGAGGTGTTCTGTTTCAACATCCAGTAATTAAAAAAAAAAAAAAAACCCACACGCACACAGTTGATACTAGAAAACCGCACACTTTTAAGAAGAATTTCATCCTTTGTAAATTTGTCCCAAACCTTTGTCTTTGAAGTGATGAGTAGAAAATTTTCTTCTTTCTTCAGCGTGGGTAAATCAGTGGATGAGATATTTTGTTCAAAGTTTAGCTCCATTGTGATTCGCCTTATTCTGCGCCTAACATTGCAGAAGATGCCAGTGTAGTTCAGAGCTGAGTGTGGATACGTTTACCCCAGTGGTATCATTAGTTGTAAGATGATGGAGTAAAATGACATTTAGTTATTTTGATAATGCAACCTGTGTCCACTCTGCTGGCATCCTCAATCAGTCAAGTAAAAGAAATATAGGAAGGGAGAGGGCTTTTATTTTTAAATTAAGATGGCAACATTAATTTCACTAAGTGTTCTTTTAGAGGTAAATGTTGGAAAATCAGCGGGAACGTGGGTGTAATGTTTTCTGGTCCTCCTTCCAAGTAATGCCATGAGCTTTGACAGTATTGTAATTAAATAGAAAGCAAAACTGTGGTAAGAAAGGAGTGTGGCTTGAAGTGGAAAAATTGACAGTGCTGTTAAGATTCCGTGAATGGTACAGATTCATTTCTTCTCCAAGTGCCTTCAAAAAAAAAAAAAAAAAAAACCAAAAACAAAACCCAAAAAACCCCTCGCTTCTGATTACAACTAATTAAAAAGAAGATGGGTCCACTTGTATTCCCCCAGGACAAGTTCAGGCAAGTGGCTTCCTGGGAATTGTGTCCATTCTTTTCTCTATTCTTGGGGCCAAATGTAAATGGCCTTTTGGTGTTTTCCTGTGCCCTAATGGAGCAATGGAGGATGTGTGCCCAGCCCTGAGCCTTAATTAATCGGATCTACGTTCTTTCTTTTTTCACCTCTGAATCTAGAAACTGGAGCCAGGCTCGCCCTTGAACTACATGCTACCCCGAGGACCTTACATCTTTCTAGGAGAGATGAGTTCTAGTTCAGTACCAAATTGATGGCCTCATAGTTTGCCCAGGGTTCACCAGCAGCTGTGAGCCCCCCTTCCCCTCCAATTTAAGAGATTACTGAAGTCTTCCTTCAGTGTTCCTCTCAGCCCATCAAGATGCCCAGAGGGTGGGAAGGTGGGAAGATGCAGACGTTCCTGTTCTTCTTAGCTACCCGCTCTCCAATGTCCCTCAAGTCCACTTGTTGGAGGAGCTTTCAATGCCGCAGGGATCGCTGCAGAAGAGTGGAGTAATCTGCTCGCCTGCCGCCAGGTGAAGGGGACCCCTTGGTTCGACTGAGACCACATAGCGATTTACTGAGGGGCTTTTAAACTGTCTTGACTTTGAGGTTGTGATTTTTTGAAAACAACCAAGGTCTTGCTGAAAAGCTGCGGGAGAGCTGGGAAAGGCCTGCGGGAAAGGCCGGCCTGAGCGCGGAGGAGGGGGCTGCAAGAGGAGGGGGCGCTTTCACCAGTCCCCTCCCCCTCCGCGGCCAAGTGTCGATGGGCAGAGCTGGGCTTCTGCCTCCTCGCCCTCCAAGATTTCAGATAAAGCGGCTGCCTTGCTGCAGCGAATCCGCACAATTAAAAGCTTTAATTAGTGGCTCCTCCATTTTCTTAGTTCTGATGGGCTTTATCTAATGAGATCTGGTCTCTGGCTTAGATCTGCTCCGAATGACGTGTCCGCAATGAATGAGAGCTGCGTCGCAAACAAAACATTTAATTAACAAAATTGGCCTCTAAGAGAGGGAGGGAAAGAATGAAGGGGGGGTTGTAGAGCGGAGGGGGAGGGTGAATCTTAAAGGGACCAACGCCTGCCTGGCCCCCCATCTTACAAAAGTGGGGGAACCTTGGGACTGCCCCCTCCCCCATCCCCGGCTCCCGAGCCCTCAGCTCCACCCAAGCGCCCCAAGTAGCTTCGGAAACTCCGTTTCTCTTCCTCGAACCCTCTTTCCTCCACCCCCCCACCTCGGGCCCGAAGACTGGCGCGGAAAGTGCAGCGAGAGGAGGAAGTTCGGAGACCGACGGGTGGGGCTCCAGGTCCTGGGAGGGCGAGGAAACGCGCCGGAAGCCCGGGTGGCGGTCGTCGGCGGGCCTTTGCTCGCTCTGCGGCCCGCACCCGGGCCGGCGCCGCCCGAGGCCGCACCCAGAGCGCCCAGCCGGCGGGCGGTCTCGGGCCCGCGAGGGGGCGAGCGCAGGGCGGGAGCCCGGCGAGCGGGTCGCGCTTTCTTTCCCCGGGCTGGGCTCGGGCAGTTCACGTGGCGCCCGCAGCCGCAGTGAGCCCGGAGCGGTCGGGGGGCGGTGGCCTGGGGCGAGGGTGGGGAGAATTGGTAGTTGGTGGTGGAGGGTGTGTTTGGGGAGGAGGTGGCGTTAGGAATGGAGGCGCCGCCAGACAGCGA